CATAGAAAATCTATGGGGTATTGTGAAGAAGAAGATGCAATACCCCAGACCCAACAATTCAGAAGAGCTAAAAGCCACTATTAGAGCAACCTGGGCTATCATAACACCTGAGCAGTGCCACAGACTGATCGACTCCATGCCACGCCGCATTGCTGCAGTAATACAGGCCAAAGGAGGCCCAACTAAATACTGAGTGCTGTACATGCTCATACTTTTCATGTTCATACTTTTCAGTTGGCCAACATTTCTATAAATCCTTTGTTTTTATTGGTCTTCAGTAATATTCTAATTTTCTGATATGATGAATTTGAGATTTTCATTTGTTGTCATTTGTAATCATCAAAATTAAACAAAACAAACATCTGAAATATATGAGTTTGTATGTAATGTATGAATATAATATACAAGTTTCACTTTTTAAATGGAATTACTGAAATCAATCTACTTTTTCATGATATTCTAATTTTATGACCAGCACCTGTATATATAGGTCCGGACTTTGAGTAGGCCGTTCTGACACACAATTATTCGTTTGATGTAAACTAGTTAGAGTCCCGGGTTTGTTGGGAGGGAGACCGTCTTTCCATATTTAGCTCAATTTATCCTCTCATCAACTCCAACCAGCGTCCTTGTCTCTACTGAAGAAAGGTATCCCCTTAGCATGATGCTACCACCTCTATGTTTAACCAATGAAGGTGTTGTGTTAAGATGAATAATCAAAGTTCTTTTTTCCTCCCAACCAAAAAGTTTTATTTTCTCCCCCTTCGTAACTATTTGTGACACGTCTGATTATGAAACATCAATAGGCAGATCAAAATGATTTTAGAAATGTTACCTTGAAACTAATAAAAAACATGAAAAGCCACTAAGATTTCCTGCCACTTAGTGAGTTCTCTTTCACAGATACCACCAAGTGCCTGGCCACAGATGAATAGATAACATGTTTTCCACACAAAGCACTTCACTGATTGGTTTTGGCTGTGATGCATTTTTTAAATTGCTTTTGCAATTCTTAATATGGGTAGAGTAAATCTGGTATAGCTGTTATAAAAGACAAATGTTGCTTTACTGAAATCCATCTCTCTTCCTCAAACAAATTCCACATATTGCCTCATATTAACGGGGGAATTGTGCTTCTGTTCTGCCTCTCAGCAGTGTTAAATTTGCCAGAGGGATCTGCTCCTAACTCTGCAGGCAGATGATGAACACAGATATTTTAGTCTTTGTTCGTTTTTTTATGTGATTTCTTTCTATAGATAGAAGTTTCCATCAGTGTCCACTTTCTTGCAAAGGTACCACTGCAACGTTCTACATTGTTTCGTCAGACTGGTTTTAGATTTGCACGCACTGCATACTTATCTGTTCTCTATTTTGAAAAAAAGGAAGATTTTGTTAATTCCTCTTCAGAAAGTAGCTCCAGGTCAGTCAGATTGCATGGAGAACATCGTGAACGTCCATTTTCCCGTCTTGCCTCAGATTCTCAATTATATTCTAGTCTGCAATTAATAGGCTGTTTTCAAGACAAAGATACTTGATTCAAACCTAATTCTCAAAATGTGAAACTGGGGCTACTTAAAGTGTTTGTGAGAACATAATTTAACATTAGCTTTTTTCACGGTAGATTCAAACTCATTATCAACAGAAAGAAAGAAAGTTAAGTGCTTATATTATGAATAATCTACATTTAAGATTATAATGATACTTCTTCATTAAAATCAAGCCAATCAGAGCAGTGATTAGCTGTCCCCTCCAGGAAGCACCTACCTTGACTGTGCTGCACCTGCCCAGTAAACAGCATGAAGACTTTCACCCTTGATATAAGGCTCAATGTTATTCCTCTCGATCAGTTTTACTCAAAATTGAGAACATGTGGCTGTTTTAGCCCTTAACCTTCAAAATGACAGTAGTGCTTCTTTTTTAGATAATGTCTAAGTCGGGGAAATGTGTTTTTCAGCTGCAAGAGCTCTGACTTTTTTCAGCCCTAACATATATTTCAAGAGGTAGCTTGAGCTAGCTATGCCATCAAATGGGGAGCACCCACACAGGGAGAGGTCAAAGTGAAGGCAAGCACCTTTCATCTGGATTAGAGGAAAGAACTAATAATGTAGAGCAAATCAAAAGTTCTGAATAACAAAGATAATATTCAATCATATATATCTGTCTCAGAAGACTTAATTTAGATCGGGTAAACTTTAGGTGATTCATATCCAGGTTCAAAAACCAGTGGGAGATCCTTATGGATATAATTAATGACAAGCTGACTGTTAGAGCAAGAAATGTATTTCTTTGCCTTTTGCACTTTTAAACAATGTCAGTGCATGTTATTTCAGGATTACCCTGCATTTCGTTCATTCAACTCTCACTGGCTTCCTCGTCTCTGCTGAAGAAAAGCATCCCCACAGCATGATGCTGCCAGCTCAATCTTTTACTCAATACAATCCATCTGGAAAAATGCCTCATCTAATCCAACGTCCCCAAAAATACTCCTGTCTGCACACCTCAACTTCTACCACTAGGGGTGTAAATCACATCCATTATGGGGATTGATTCAGTATCGATTTCCTGACTGAAATTGCGGAAAACAACTCATAAAGTTGGACCCGCTAGTAGAGCGAGGTGTGCGAGAACTCTGGGACCCTTTTTTTCACCTGGATCCCCGCTCTTTTTGGCCCTCGTGTCCCTCCGTTGTCGGACAAACCCGCCCCCACTTCCTCACCACCTCGGCCGTATCTAGACCCACAGCGTATAGCGCAGACCACACTAAAAATTTAGCATAAATCAAAAATGTCTGCGTCAAGCTCACTGCGCTACAAGGAAGCGAGGTAGGAGGGCAAAATAGGTTTGGGGCCACCGCAGCACGGGAGTCAGAATTATGCCAAGGAGCAAATGGATAAAAATAAACTGGAGGAAAAAAAAAACGAGTCGCTACTCTTGTGGACGTGTCGATGCATCGGATTGTCGGCTGTTGGATAGATGTATTGATACAAAACGATTATTATTTACACCCCTATCTACCACTGCGTTGCTGTCACCCTCATTATCATGAAACACCCGGAGAAGCTGCTGTTTAGTTTAATTCTACCAATTGTAAGCACTCTAATTAGCCTGCAGGCTGATGATCTAGAACTCACCCCGTCTTAATATTCCTCCTCGGTTAATTCATCTCCTTTATACTTTTCTGAGCATCTTAAAGTGGTATGGTTTGGCTCAACTACAAACACTGCAGTCCCACAAGGCTTTGTGCTGAGTCCCTACCTCTTGCTTTATACCAGTGACTGCATCAGTACGCCTCCAAAGATCATTTATTATTAATAAACTGATGACATGGTCATCCTTGCTATCCACAAAAGTGTTTTATTTTCTGTTCTGGAATATGACAACGCTGTTTGTCACTGCATCCACTGACCTGGAAGTACACCTGAATTTAAACAGAACCAAGGAACTGGTGGTAAGCCCTCCGACTCCTCTAACATCAACAACCAAACAAACAACTTCAAATATCTTCAAGTAACAGTGGATATCAGACTCACCTTCAATCAGCAGATCACAGACATTCATGAACAAGAGCCACTAGAGACGAGCAGCCATCCCAGTGGGACTCTGGGTTCCCCTGTGTCTGCTTCTGTGACTTCTCCAAAAGCATCATCCAATCCAAACTATTACACTGCTCCACCTTTTTTCATGACATGCTTGCTGTTAAAAGAACAGACTAAACTCTGAGGCATAACCTGCTTGGAGAATCATTGTTCTGTTTACGTCCAACCCTTCTGAACTCAATTATAGAGCCATCACACGCAGTGTATTATCTGTAATACAGAACTTTACTCATCCACGACATGAATACCTCACGCCGTTGTCATCAGGACGCAGATGTTGAACACTGAGGTGCAGAAAAGCTTGTTTCAGGAAATCGCTCTTGCACGTGGTCATAGCAGTCGTAATCAACAGGCTGGGTGGGCCATGCATTGATAGGTTTTGACCTGTGCGTTATTTTTATGGTGTTTTGTTTGTTGAAGTATTGCTGTGCCTTATTGTTAATGTATGCTGATGAGGGGGAGTCCAGGGGGTGGTCTGTGGAAAAGGGATTGAGCGAAATGGGATAATAAAGTCTAAAAGGAGATGTAATCTTTGACGGCTAGAGTTGTCTATGGATTCATTCGGGGGTTCAGAGTGAAGGAGGCCAAATGTAAAGACAAACTTTGAATCATTTTCCTCCCTCTGCACAAACAACCACATAATCCTAATAAAGAATTTTATCAGAATGTTTTAATATCCCAATAAAATACTTTGTGGTTTGTAGTTCAGATAAGACAGACTGTAAAAACCTTTAACTGGTATGAATACATTTGCAGGGCCCTTTAAACTAAATGGTACGAAATGCTTTGATGACTTTGAATCACCAGGCTCTTATGAAGCACATAACTCTCCGATGGGAATTAAGCAGTGACAGTAGGCAAGAACAAATAAAGTCACAGCGGTGTGAAAAGTCTCCCAAACCTCCCCACCCTTTACATTCCAACATGTTCCTCCTTACTTTGCACTTAGGCAACAACTTGTACTCGTTTGCCCTCTTCCTGCCTGGCCTCCTGTTGTCAACAGCAACATGCCTTCATCCTGAAACACTTTTCTCTGTAACAACAATGGGAAAAAAAACTGAGGGAAACCATGGGGAAGGAAAGCATAAACGTCTACGTGCCCAGATATAGCTATTTCTGTGCATACGTGTCACCCGTAGCAACAAGACTGTGATTGTGGTTAGCTGGGCTGTCCGTCTGTCGCCATGGCAGCGTGCATCCAGTCAGTGTTTTAGGAGTTCCCCCTCAACACTGCCCGTGAGTCACCAGCGGCCCTCATGAGAGTAAACATCTTCAGCTGATTGGCAAAGACATGAGAAAGAACACCAAAAAAAAAAGACTCGTTTGAGTTTGTATCTATGAGTGAATAACGTAGGGGGGAGGGAAGAGAGTAAGAGATGTCAGGGATTATGTGAAAAGCAAACAAGAGGCTTGTCTAGGGTGTGGACTTAAAAAGTGGGCTGGGTATAAGTGGGCGGAGGGGTATTTTCTTAGGTTTGTGCCTTTAGAATCTCAGTCTGGAATTAGGATCATTGACAGCAGGAGGAATAGAACCTGGAAGAAACTTGCACCCCTCTAACGGTAAGTCAAAGTTTTTGCTTTGCTTCTTAGAGCTGCGGTTGAGTTGATTCAGCAGGATAGGAAAAGGGATGTTTAAACATGTTTCCTATGGAATATTGGGTACTGAATGCTTTCCTTTTAATTCAGGTGCCAATCTTCTTGTCTACCCTAACTTGCTTTAATGGTCAAATTATCACTGACCTGAGTAGTTTACTTTACAGTGATATAAACTAAAAACTGGTTTGGAGATGCAGATAAAAATTCATTAAGACTGAAATTTCTAGTTTCTAAAGTCAAAATGAGATCTTTTTCCATTTTTAAGATGGAAATGCAGTAATATCATGGCAAGACATTAAGGTCTCTGCAGGAATTTGGGGAAACCAAATATTCCAAAAGTGTGTTTTTAATGAAAACATACCCTTTAACCTTTTCTCTTTTTTATCCTAGCCATATTTTCTTACTTAAAAGTCAGTATACCCCGGTAAAATCTGCAGAAAGCATCTATGTTTCAGCATCTATATGCTTTTTGGCTGAAATTGCACATGGTTATATCTAAAAAGTAAGTCTGAGGTGAGACAAGAGGGGAGAAAAGTTGCAAGGTTGTTTGAAGCCCGCTCACATGTCTGGAGGCTCGATGCCCCGTGTATGAAAGGGTTTGTTTGAGTGAGCGACAGTGGGCCGAACCCTGGACCACTCCTTTAACCAAGCGAGAACCAGCACATTCCACTGATCCTCTGATCTCTCCCCGCGTGGCCTCAGGTCCGTATTTAACCCAAACAAGGCCCATGTACACATGCGGTTCTTAACGGGCAACTAAAACTGTAATGATAGTTTTACAGTGAAAACATGAAAACAGTTGGTAAAATTAGTTTGGTGTTTGTTTTAAAAAGAATAAAGGGTTGCATTATCTGCCAGAGTGAGGAGGGATCAGCAGCTTGGAAGGATACAGTAACTGGGTGTATGCTCTACAGTTATTTTAGGGAGTGGCAACCATCTTTCAAACATTGGACAAGCTCAAACTCATCTATCAACTATGAACCATTCTACTCACTTGTCTTTCCTTACCTCCCTAGGCTACTTATTGTTTCTGACCCCCCTCCCCCTGACGATCCACCATCACCTTTGCATTCAGCCCCTGTTAACTGAGCTCAGTTTGCAGACATTTTCCACAAGAGGGCCTCAGCTCTAGACTCAAATTAAAAGCTACGAAGCGACGCCCTGAGTGGATGTGAGGCCTTTTGGTCTTCTATTCAAGCTTAGAATGAGCGGTTATAGAAAGGGTTGGTGCTTTTCCCAGCATATGTTTAGGTTAAGCTGTAACAACATATTCCTAAAACTGTGAGGTGAAACCAATTTTTTTCCATTCATCTTTTCAGAACAGTCATCATGCTGATCCTCATCGCACTTTCAGTTCTTCACATCGCAGCCATCATCCTCTTGCTGGTTGCTACCATTGACAATGTAAGTATTGTTCATATTGCATGCTTGTGAAAACACGTTATGCAGGATTTCACAATTTTAGACGATCACAATGTTTGTTCAAAGGAAAGTTAAATTGGATAGTTTAAAGAGGTTCTGGTAAAAAAAAAATCAACCTGCAGAAGTTAAACGTTAGGCCCCACCTATAGTACTCTATATCATTTTAAACAGATATATTTTTTTTCCATTATTTTCTTTTAATTGCAGAGCTCGGCTAATAATTAATTTTGAATTACATGCATTTAAATACAATCAAAAAGCTGCAGGACACTGGAGTTTGACACCACTGATCAAGTTCAGGTGGTCCCAGAGACTAATGCTAACAGCTAGTCTAAGAGAGGTCAAGACTAAAGTGGACCCATGGCATCTTGAAACAATTTAAGCCTCAAAAACATCACTTTATGCTTCTGGTATTGTGTAAATATTGAAGTCATCACTGTGTTTTCTCTGGGAGGTTATTTAAAGATTAGATGGGATTTATTAATACAGGAAATGACGGTTGGAGGCGGTACACCACCACTGATCTTGCTGAGTGAAACATTTCTGGTAGATTAGACAACTAAAACACAAGTAAGGTATTCTGAAAATGAAAGAAATAACCACAATTTAAAACTTTTGAACTTCTGACCTTTTCATTGTCCAGAAACAGTATGTATATCTATATATATATCTACACTGCAAAAACAATCCAGAAATAAGTAAAAAATTCTTAAATTAAGTATATTTACCCTTAATTTGAGCAGGTAAATAAGATGATCTGCCAATGGAATGAGTATTTTTACTCTTAAAATAAGATAGTTAGATAATATTTACTTGAAATAAGTAATAAAATTGTTTTTTCTTATTTTAAAAGGAAATTGTCTTGTTCCATTGGCAAAGTGTCTTACTTACGTCCCCAATTCAAGGAAAAATTCACTTATTTTAAGAAAAAATAACTTATTGAGGTTTCTATTTTTTGCAGTGTATATATATATCTATATATATATCTATATATATATATATATATATATATATATATATATATATATATATATATATATATATATATATATATATATATATATATATATATATATGTTCTATTCTGACGTTGTGTTTTTCCTTTCCACATTTTAAATCCAATTCTCTGTAACCAGCCATCCACTGAAAACAACAAATAAAAAGTTTTTAAAAATGCATCAGTTTTAGATACCTTGTTAACCTGGCAAGTTAGACTGATATTGGGTTCCTACTGTCTGCCTATGATTGGTCTCAGCCAATCACAGTAACAACATAAAATAGCATCAGACGCCATGAGAAACCACAACAACTTACACTTTCGTGCTCTTTTTGACCTCTTTCAAAAGTGAAATTCAGGATTCTGACAAATGGCATGTGCTAGCAGCAGCTACGCGTACGTCCTCCTGCACTCTCACGTTTTGCTTTCAACTGTGGGCTCGGCAGCTCTTGTCTTGCTTTCATCACATCTTTAATTCCTGCCTTAAACCATAATAATGCAACATAATCAGGCTACCTGTTACAGGTCGGTCTTGAGTGGTTTAAGCTGGAGCGGTTTCTTACTGCAGCTAATATATTAACTACAGATAACCTCACCTCAGACATTCTGTATAATCTCAGTGAGTCAGTTAATCTCTCCTGCCTCTCATTCTTTTTCTGTTAGTGGTTGTCTCTTTCTTTCCCGACCACATACCCATCATTTTTGTTAGACTCAGCTCAATCATAGTTTGTTTAACAAAGTAACCTGCGAATGCTGCTCAGAAATATCTCAGATTCCTATCTGGGTAAGATTCCGAAGTGTGAGATGAGTAATACCAATTTTATGTGGGGATGTGCATGGGCCCTTTAAAGTGTCTCTCCCACCGAGGAGGTTTCTTCCTCTCTGAACTCTGACCTTAAACAATGATGTAACAGACTTTGTCACAGGATTCGATTAATTTTTGTTTTTCTTTTAACCTTCCCATCAGGCCTGGTGGGTAACTGAAACCGTGCGGACAGATATCTGGGCCCGGTGGGTGTTTATGGATAACAAGTGGAATTATACTGACCTCCCGGACATCAGTTCCTACCCACAAGGTGAGCCTAATTTATCCCTATTAATAAGGAAATATCTAATTAGAAATTCTAACTTTTTTATTAATTTATTGCATATTTTGACTAAATATGGCCAAATACAAAAAACCTTTAAAGCCCAAACACTCATGTTCACTTCCTCACACGAAGTCTTTGTTTATACAGGAAATATGGCTCGCTGCCCAATGTAACAGAGTTTGCATTGGTATTAGAAGCACTCAAGGGAAAAAATAAAATAAAAATTGTATTCTAAATCAGGTTCTCTATCAGATTTTTTGTTTTTCTAGTTATGAGTGAGTGAGTGTCGCCATGTGTTATAGCCAAAAAAAAGGTAACAGTGGAAAAGAAACAGGGAGTGATGATACAAAACTTGATCTCTGCATTATAGCTTGCTTCTGCATAAATTAAAGAGCAAATTCAGTCTTTTAAACAAACCATGTTTGACAATTTTTTTTATAAAATCTGAATTTGAACATTACACTGTTTGAGATATAATAAAATAGCTATTTATATGCTATTATGACGTTTAGAAGTTTAGGAATATCCACATATTAGTCAAACCAGCACTGAGCTGTTTTAAATTTCACAATTGCAGTTTTTGATTAACAAAAGAAGGAATTTGGTAATCTTTTATATTTATTAATTTAATTACCCATCTTGTTGATCGTGTTGCTCTCTTGCTCCCCCTGCAGATTACCTCCAGGCAGTGCAGGCCACCTCTGTTCTGGCCTGTATTTTCTCCATCATTGGCCTCTTTGTGTTTATTGCTCAACTCTTCACCCTCCCGAAGGGAAACAGGTTCACCATCTCCGGTGTCTTTCAAATTCTTGCCTGTAAGTAAAGCTATGGTTGAACGTTTTTCCATATCTCCCAATGATCTCCATTAAATTGTTTTTGTTTTGGTTCTTTTTTCATCCCTTCAGGCCTGTTCATCATGATCGCAGCCTCCATCTACACAGACCGCTTCCATTTGGACGAGGCAGAAGGTAACTATGGCCACAGCTACATCCTGGCATGGATCGCCTTCGGTTTGACCTTCATCTCCTCCATTGTTTACTTTGTGCTACGTAAGAAGTAGGGTGGAGCACAATGGACATTTGATCACACTCCACCTAACCAGTTTCTTTGTTATTTTGGACAGATCTACTCTTTCAGCTGAAATCCTGTTGGTTTTTTTTCCCATTAAATTTAAGCTGCTAGTGTAAACAAAACAGACCTGTGGATATTCTCTTACACATTTAATGTTGGACTGAGTCTGCCTTCAGATGTTACCTTCTGAACTTTGGGGCAAACCTAGCCAGTCGCAGTCGTATTTAAGTGTATTTTCAGCCAGGAGTCGGGCTGGTTTACTTCAGGGTATACTTCATTTTATGCTGAACAGAGAAAAGCCTTCCTGTTAATGAGAGACAATGATAAATCAAGACGGTAACACATCATGATGAGCAGACAAATCAAATATTTAATGATTAGCTAAATGCATGAGTCAGGATCATTAAGCTGTTTATGAATGATTTTTTTCCCCCTGTGTAAATGAGGGAGTAAAAATCACTATTTAAAAGAGATCTTTAAATATTTGACTGGCAGCAATATTATAATGTTTTACCTAATAAGATGAATAAATATCCAGTGTAAAGAGTAAAATCTGTGGTTATTTTTCATATATACTTTTACATATATGGATATGTATGTTACAATAGTAAAAATGAAAGGGGAATTTTTTTATGTTTTTGCATTGTTTTTGTTAGTTTATCAATTATATTTTCTTCTTTCATAAAAAGTTTTTTTTTTTTTCCCACTAGGCTAAACTAACGTGATTTACAGTCTTTAGAATATCATATGAAACTAATGCAATTCAAAAATGATTAAAGATACATTACTCAAATATCAGCTTTGGATAAATAAATGTTTCCATAAAAGGATGACTGTTTTAATAAATGAAGCACCACTACTTCTAAACGCAAAATAAGGTTTAATCAAAAATGTCTTTTGATTGTAAATCCAACATTTTCATGCGCTCACATCAGCTGTTTATATAAAGGCATCTGTTCCAGAAATGAAGCATGAGACATAATGTGTAAATAGGCTTTCTTAAAGGAAAGCTCTGTATGTCTGATGTTGTTTATTTTTGCTACATGATTGACAATTACATTGATTTTTGAAATAAACATTTTCTTTTTCATTTACTGGTGACTTGTCATTTTTTTTTGTCCTTCCTTTTCATTTAAGATTAGATGTGGTGGTGATCATAACGGATCACAGTATAAATATTCACTGAATAACAGAACAATCCTGAATAGGCAAGGTGAGTGTGGATTGAATGTTCAATGTCCATCAGCATCTTAGTTAATTAAAATGTCGTCAAGAAGTGGTTTGATTCACAAAATCAATTTTAAAGGGAATCACGTTAAGTAGCCTTAGACAGGGAAATTCAAATTCTGCTCTTGAATTTCAGTAAAAACTAATTATGAATATGTGCCTGTAGGAGTTCAGAGTGGGCTGTAGTCCTCGTACTGTTCGAAGGGATTCTCTTTGTGTTCTGGGAGCATCATGTGAACAGAGATGGAGGGTGAGAGAGAGGGGGAGGGCAGGGAGAGACGGTGGAAGGGGGAAGCAGGTGCAGGGTGGGTCGGAGGAGAAGGGAAGGAGTCTGAGTGTGTGAGGGGAAGAGACTGGGAGTGTGTGAGCCTTGGGGATGCGGGCGGGGAGGACGCTAATGGAGGCTCGTAGTAGGGAGACAGGTGGGAGATCATGGGAGCAGGCAGGGGTGCAGATAGGGGTTCAGATTGGGTGACCGGTAGGTTTGGGGGGGTGTAGTAGGGAGCGGGTGGCAGGAGTCCCACAAAGTTAAAGCTGCAGGGGTTGAGGCTTGAGGTGCTCCTGGGTCCCACCATCAGGACAGTCTTGGTGTAGTTGTTCAGGGTGGAGACGCCTGCTGCCATGCACACAGTGAACGCCACCCAGACCACACTGTCAGAGAGAGACATGATGTATCTGTTTAGGTCTGTTGATTTGAGTCAAACTAAAAGTAGAGCTACATTTCAGAACCGTCTTTATCATTGTGCCAATCACCCTGCAAGATGGTCCGATCCAAATTTTTAAGGATTTAAATGAATAATGGAAAGTTAAAGGGACAGTGGAGGATTTTCTTTTTCGGGGTGGATCATCAAAATAATTGGTCCTCCTAATTGTCATCAATTCTGGTGATATTTGTTTATGTTAAGCTGTCCTACGTGCTTGTCCCCATTTACACCTACCGGTGGTGAGTCTGACATAGTGGAAAAAATGCAAATCTTCTTTTGGAGAGTGAGCTTGTATGAGCGATGCAAACAGCAACTTTTGAAGAGAGAGTGCACATGGAGAAATGGGCTCCTGCATTCTCTCGCGCACGACTAATAGGTGTTACCTCTTGCATTTTTTTTTTTTTTAAGTGGAGAGGACGGGTCTTATTAAAAAATTGCGAAAATCCTCCAATACCTTTAATATCAGAAGCAGATCATTTAAACTGATGTGAGCCATGTGTTTGGTTGTGTTATTTGCCCCAGTAAGTTGACATCAACTGGACCAACAGTTGTTGGATTCCAGCAGTAACGTATATTGTCAGCTGAACAAGTAAGTCCTTTTAAGCTTGTTTGTTTCTGAGGACTATTGAAATAGCTGGCAGGTATCAAGCAACCCTAAAGATTCTGTTTCTGTTTATGTAAAATCAAAAAACCTTGGTAGTGTGAGGAATTTATCGAGGCAATGGAGAATGACATGTCCTTGTCCTTTAGGAGGTTCTTCAATTTGGCATAAAGAGATTGATAGGTGTAGTTCAATTTGAACTCTACACAGAATCCACCTGGAATGGCTGCTGTGGAAATGTTAGCAAAAGGGAGGGACATTTAGTACAATTCTTAGCATTGGTTGGGTAAATATCACCGACTCACACCTGCATCCCATGTCGAGCTTTCAGCCAATCGCAGCAGCAGTAGGAGCTGTGATTTATCACATTCTTGATTTGTTTCTCAACTAGTGGAGTTAACTGATAAATCCAACTCTTGTCAAATCCGGTTTGGAGGAAGACGCAGACATCTTTCCTATCCCAATCACAAACCGTGTCCCTTTGCTTGTATTGCAAAAAAGAAAGAGTGTATTCCAGGTCATAGACTGAAAAGTGGGGTCTGTGCTTCTGGTTGACATCCCATCATTGCATTTCATTGGTTTGAGACATTTCTGTAATCAAGGCTAATTCATCTACTGGGTTCTGACAAAGTGGGTTTTCAGGAGTTTGTCAATTCATCAATCTCATGGCAATTTATCTTGTTTGCAAGGTAAGATGCTGTTGTGAATGAGACACACACACACAAAAAAAAAACAGGGCCCAAGGTGAGTTTTGGACCTTGACTAGAATTGTTGTTGACCAATGGAATGAGAACTTTGAGGATATCCTTATCAAGTCACAATCTCCAAGTGGGATCTGACTGCTTTCGGTTTGGGGTTAAATACGCATTTTTGCACAGGAATGGCTGAGATTTGTCCTTCTTTCCTGAATGCTATGCTCACCAGGGAGGTGTCTTAGCTGCAGTGCCACACTAATGCCGTATAGAGAACTGGTGCCAACATTTAGAGGCAGACTAGACTTGAGGTTATTTTTTCCCACAAAAAAGCTGATCATTGTTTGAACATGTGCCTCTACTTCTCTTTGGATGCACATAAAGCACCATGGGGGAGTGTTGGCCTACTGGTTAGAGCAGTGGGCTTTTGCTCTTAGAAGGTTGCAAGTACCCGATTCGATCCCCATAACCTGCACTCTGGGTCTCTGAGCAAAACCCTTAACCCCACACTGATCCCCTGGTGCTGCTCAGTGGCAGCCCACTGCTCCCCAAGGGGATGGCTTAAATGCACTAAATGAGTTAAGTGAGTTAATTTCTCCATTGTGAGATCAATGAAGTTCATTTTTTTTGTGCCTTTCATCGTGGCCATGGATGGACACCTTTGCAGAACTGCTTAGGGATCGTTTAGAATTCATTGATCTGATCTTTATGTGCCTAAAGCCAGGCGTACGCTGTACAATTTTTTGCCTCTTTCGCGACGATTTTCCAGTATGCGAGAAATTTTTCAATCGGGCCGACTTTCAGCCTGATTGTGCGTTTTGAGTCGTGTAGTGTACAGGAGTAACGAGGGGCAATCAGCAACTCACGACCACCTCCTGATCAGGAATCATGAGGTCGGGAGATAAAGTCAAACGTGTTTGAAATTCAGCTGGCCATCGTGGGCAAATCACTCAGTGGACAAACAAGGATTCTTCTTCTCAGACGAAAACAAAGAAGCATGGTGGGGGTGCGACTGAAATAGAGTTCTTTCTTTAAAATTGAGTGACCATAGTAGCCACCTTTGCTCAGCCATGTCTTTGTCCAAATACGTCGCCCCTTGTTTTTAGGGATTTCCGCACACAAAATTGCACAAATTGTCAAGGCAGCACGTTTCACTCTAGTGAGCTTCGTATTCCTCCTCCACTTGTTTGGCTTCCGGATAGACGAGTCCGAGTAGCGCCATCTCACTGTGGAGCTGAGTTCGACATGGTTTTTAGACGTACAGTGTGAGCAGGTAGATCACATCAGATAGTCGGGTCGCACAGTCTGAGAACAAACATCGCGAGCTGAGAATTTTTAAACCCTGCGGATTCATGCAAAAATTTAAAAAATCGTGAAGTGTACGCCGGCTTTATGGGGAAGGCTTGACACTGTGTCGGGGCTGCTCCTTGTCATTAATCCTGTTGGTCTTGTCTTTGGTCAGGATATTAAGACTTGGTCAATAGGAGGATGGTAGCTAGTATCGGAATCATATGGAAGTAATTATGTGTCGCTGGGATTTGAATTAAAAATGCCACTGAAATTTAAATGTTGTATGTTTGTACTTACTGTTTCAGTGTTAACATATATTCAGAACACATTTTTGACCTACAAAAAATCATTGTCATTATTTCTACACAGTTGAAATTTAGTTATTTTCTCTTCAAGCTAAAAATTCACATTACTATTTCAAAGTGATTACATTTTCAATACTTATTTTTCAGTTAAATGTTTCAGTGTTAAAAAAATGCATATAAAAAAATTCAACCTTTCAAAATTCAAACTCAATATTTTCAGCCTCCTAAGATTCAACCGGCTCTATGTCACTGTTTTAAATTCGGCGTCTAAATTCAGTGTAAAAAGGGAAGGGTTACTTCAGGTCACAGACATTAGCAATGGATTGTGGTGTCCAACACCCAGCCAATCCCGTTATGTTTTCTTAGTCACGTGACGTGACGCTTGCGGCGCTCATACTGAAGGAAAACCAGCATCACGGAGCCGGTCATGCAAGCTAACGCTTTTAGGTCAAAAATGTGTTCTGAATATGTTTTAACACTGAAACAGTAAGTACAAATATACAACATTTAAATTTCAGTGCCATTTTTAATTCAAATCCCAACGACACAGATTTACTTCCATAGAATCAGGGTTTCCGTCTTCTGGCCAGTATGATTGAGCTGAATGTACAGTGACTAAAATGAGTCAAGTCCTTTAAAACTGAGGCTTGGAATTGGAGTTGGCATTAGCAGTTAAGGAGCTCAAGTTTTGTCTTGACATCTTCACAACAATTAATGGAAGGCCTTATTTTTGCCACTTACTTCTGAGGTGGTTTGGTTCTCTGGTCAAATTGTTTCTCTTTTGAAATTTTATGGGCTTGTCACTGGAAAGTTTAACACCGAATTTACTGGGGGAACTAAATGTTTAATGACCATATGTATAATGAGTAGGTCCAATGATTCAAAGAGTCCCCATGACAGCAGGCAACAGGAAGTGCCTATCTCATCCAACTGGATCCTAGACATTTTAATTCAGAAATTAAAAACCAATTGGAGACAATGTTTAAAAGACAGAGCAACAGCAAGACGGAGTAGGAGAAGATTGCTGCACAGTTAATATGTAAGTTTATATGAAGTCTACAATGGCAGGGGGTTTTAACATTAACTAAAATCCCTCTCTCTCTTGTTCCATTTGTTTTCCATCCTTTAATTGAATTTCATTTAAGGGAGGTGCTATGTTTGTATTTTTAACACCTAATATGTCTAAAGGACAAAGATTTCCTTTTAATTATATGCACAAAACTATGACAGAACTCTGCTGATTAACTCAGGAAATAAAACGTGATTGGCTCTAAGGAGGGCGGAGACAGTGGACACTGATTTTACTGAGGAAAACCTGCTCCCGACCAAGTTAGGTCTGGAGAGAATGTTACTACGGTAACAGAAACAGAGGTTGAATAAATGTCTTTGTGAAACAGAAAAATTGTTTCCCTGATTTCAGTTGTAGAAAACGCAGTTTTCAGTAAACGTGCTATGAGAAACAGACACCATGGATCATCCCTGATAAGATGGAGAGACTTTTCTGGGATGATGAGGGATGTTTGGATTCTCACACATCCCACATCTGATCTGACATGTTGAAAACAGTGGATGGATGAATGAATGTAAAGATCCATTAGTGCTGTCAAAGATGCACATTTTGTTCGATGTTGGAATATCAAAACGATTTTTAGGGGTATGTTTTCATTTGGTTTTCATTTCATCTTTGGCCTTAAGAATAATTTTCCAACAAATGTATGAATGCTTTGAAGTTAAACCTTATATTTGAGGAAGTACCTGCAGACTTTTATCAAAATTCAACGTGGTTTCAGATTACAGGGGTTCTGTGAAACAGAATGTCTAATTTACTCACTAGAATGCCCAGGAGTAGCCATAGCTGTGAGGTTTAAAGTCCTCTGGTCCCATCGAAACAGTGGTCTGAAACACCTGCATGAACATCATGTGACCCACCATTCCCAGCAGACCTGCGGTACAAGAAATACCCCCCAAACCCCCAAAAGGTCAATCACTCACATTAAAACTATTAATCAAAATATAAATCTGAGGTAGTGTTAGATATACCTCCCAGAACTGTGAAGACAGCTGCGAAGGAGTTGAGCAACTGGCCCCAGCGTACCGTGGAGGGGAACCAGGCCCTGATGCACAGCTGGCCAGATAGCAGCAGGCAGCTGACCAGCAGCAGACCAACATACATGAACTCCAGCGTAAGACAGAGCCACATCATCGCTGCAGAGGAAGAATGGAGGAGCTGAAACAACCGTATAGGCAGGAGTTTCAATCTATCAATAAGCATGAAGATGAATGATTTACCTTCCTCTGATTCAGGAGTCAAACTGTAAAAGCCTCGACACTTCTCTTCTAAAAAACAAAGATAATAAATTCATGAATAAAAGGTCTCTGGGGCAGAGAACGTAGCTGCTATCTGTTATATCAGATATTTTTTTTTCCTCTAATAGGAAACCTAAAATGTAATTAAACACACCTATTAAGCTATTATGTGACAAAACTGTTTGCATAAAGAGCTTTTAATGCTGGACACTGCCTGATGGAAGATTATAGGATCTGTTTGGTGTAAATCTGCCAGGATGGAAGAGGAAAGAAAAATATTAGCCTCCCCACAAACTAATGGGTTGTTTTTTGTTTTTCATTTTTATGACCTTCTGATAACATTCAAACATTGAGAAACAAACTGAAAGTAATTACTTTTCTTAGAAGAATTTGGCTCCAGGCAAACAAAAAAAGAAGAGGAGAGAAAGGCAGCATCCTCCTGTCTCAGCTTTTAGTTAAGCCTCTTGTGGGTTGATTACCAAACTGTTGACATGATAGCTCCAATAATCGGCCTCCAAATGGACTGAGACATTAAGAGTCTTAAAGAAACAGTTGCAAGTAAGGACAGCAAGAGAAAAAGGAAGAACTCAGCCTCTTCATGTGTTGCACCAATAAAAGTGCAGTTTATGCTTCCAGACGTCTTAAAAATTATGCAGACTTGCTGAAGAATTCACTCCTGACATTGCTTTTGGGGGCGGTGCGCTTTCGAATAGCGATGGTCCTCCTCCAAAAAAAAAGGATGCAGAAATATAAGGAGGAATGGGAAAAAACAAATACCTGGGTGGAAAAAGTCTGCGATAATGAATATAAAGCACACAGCAAATATGTATCTAATTCAATGCAGATTTTAGTAAAATAGAGAAAAAAATCATTTCACACACAAAGAGGGGCTAAAAATAAATCACTACACCAGGAGGGGTAAAGGCAATTGGGTTAGCTGGCATGCACATGAGGTGCCCCTTTTTTTTCAGGCAGTTGGGTACCCTATTTCAGACCAATTTTACCAAAGGAGGCCAGTGAAAAAAAACAACAATGGGGCAACATTTCTTCATTTGGTATATTGAGAGAGCCAAAAAGCTACTTACGGTTCAGGACACCCTAAACTAGTGGATTAAAATTACTATCCTATCCCAATATGGCTGGAGCTAAAAGTGCTACATTTTTAAGATTGTGTAAAAAAAAAAAAAAAAAAATTGGGGTTATCAAATTGTCACACCACATAAATATATTTTATTAATCACCCATCTGAATTTAAATGATAAAAAACATAACTATGGATACAAAAAATTGAATGGCACTCAGAGAGCAGACCGTGGTCGGCTAGGGCAGCTAAAAACATGCCCACAAGCTATTCTATGTTATAGAAAATAACGCTAAATATTATAGATTTAAATCTGGATTTTAAATCCAGAGGGATAAGTGGAAGCTTTGTTTGACTCATGTTCAATGAGGAAACGGAGAACAGTCGCTCTGCTCTCTGATTGAAGACACAGGTTGCAGCTGCTGCGTCTGCGTCCCTGCGCTCAATAACTGTTAACTGAAGACAGAAAACTCAGAATGATCACTGCTCTATGTGTTCTCACCAAAGTATCCAACAAGACAGAAAAAAGTCACCAGATTTTTTGCTGATCGCTTTAAAAAAAAAAAGCAAAATATCCACTAAAGGGATCTGAAAAGACCCTAAATAAAGTTGCTGAGTCGGCAACAATGCAGAAATGTCCTTGCTGTTCATTTTTCTACTGCTGCTGCAGCAGGGAGCGGGCCTATGCTGAAGGCAGCTGCATGGCGACATGAGAACGCACTTTTAGACACGCCAAAAAAAATCCTGAGAGACAGGATTAGTGAAACACAAATTGAATTCTAATGCTGCAGTGCAATCAGAAAAGGTTGGGAGACATTTCATGCATGCAATACACCCATGATATTTATAATGGGTCTGGGAGAAAATTTGGGAATTCTCTTAACAACATCTTACATTTCTTTAACATTTGTTGAAGTAGACCTGTAAAAAATCAAAATCCATTCTGTTACATTTTTGTGTGCAAACATAAATGATCTGATTTAATTGTTAGTATTAAGTCTTTAATATAGGGGCCATAATGAGCATCAGATCCAGTTCTATAGGGGCACTGGCCCTTTTCGGCCCCTGTCTAGAACCGTCCATGCCCTGATTAAAACCCAAGCACCTTCAGAATGAAAGGAAGTGATCTGTGTATGACTGAATGCAGCTGTTGTGTTACGACCTCAGATGTTGTTTGGAGAATTAATTAAATTCAATTCAGTTTATTTATGTAGCCCCAACTTACAACATGTCATCTCAAGGCACTTTACAGTTCGCCAGATCATCCAGTCAAATTAATTCAAAGTTTTCTATCTAAGGAAAACCAGTTGATTGCATCGACTCATTGACTCGAAGGCAATCCCTCACACTAAGCATGCTTGATGCGACAGTGGAGAGGAAAAACTCCCTTTTAACAGGAAGGAATTAAGTGATCAGGCAGAATCATGAAGACCAAATGACATGGGAGAGAGGTCAGCAAGAAACCTACAGAGTACTAAAGCATTGCTAGAAAATATATACAGCAATTTGTAGCAATAACTTAAACTTAAAACCAATAATTAAAAAACTTAAAAGATGCCAAGAGGTCGACTGAACTGATCACTACTGGCTGTTCACTCCAGAAATGTGGTTTCTGTAGAAAGGTAATGAGGAAAGAGAAATCGAGAAAACATCCATGAACAAACATTTGGGGAAGGCTGTGTGTGTGTTTAAATTATTTTTCTTTGTTCCATTTATGGAGACGGATATGTGGGAAAAAACTCTCACTGCTCTGGTGGACTGCAAGGAGGTTAGACTGGTGTTTTAGAAAAAAATAAAGTTTCAGCTCATCTAATCAGCTGCAAACGAGACGATGATAACCCGGCCCATGTTGGTGAATCCTGTTAACCTCTCCCCTCTCAGGCTTTTAATCCATAATTGAGTCATGCTGCTGCAGTCTAAATCTCTGTGAGCAGAACTCGCCCCGGTGATAATCTTCTTTGGGCCCGGCACACAGCATTACAAGCTCACGCACACACATATCTATAACTATCTATATAGTTTTATATATATATATATATATATATATATATATATATATATATCCCAGGTTTATCCAACCTTTCTGTATCCTGCCTTGTATTGGTACCAACACAAAGTTTATGCCAAATATGTTTCCTGTTTCAGTGAAATTCCAGACAGATTGCTTTGATTTCCAAGGCTTCCCATGTAAAATGAATTAGCATCCTTAGAAATGCAGATTCCTTGCATTAAATAGTCTTTTTCAACCTATGTGATCAATTTCAGGGTTGCAGGTGATGCGTTCAATAATAATAATAATTGAACTTTATTGATCTCACATTGGAAAAATGTACCTCTGCATTTAACCCATCCCCATGGGGAGCAGTGGGCTGCAATCATGGGTGCCCAGGGAGAAATGTGGGGTTAAGGGTCTTTCAGAGACCCAGAGTGGCAGTCTGTGGGAGGGGGGCTCGAAATCAGAACCTCAGGATTCCAAGCTATATGCTCTTACCACTAGGCTGCTACTCCTCTGACTTTTGCACTCAGAAAAAAATTAGCAACATATTTCTTCACCCTCCACCTGTGATTTAGTTTTTCCTCTATTCAGGGTTGGCTAACTGGACCCATCTCCCTGCAGTGGTGCTCTCACCCCATTCGTCCACATAGATGTTCTCCTCGCAGATGATGAACAGCCCCGTGTGGAAGGTGGGGAAGACGAAGCGGTCGTCACCCGTCTCCCAGAAGAACTGGATGTTAGAGTTGTTGGACAAACCGGGCACAGGGATGCACCGGGTGAGCTTGTTGGCCGTGCAGAGCGGCTTGGGTATTTTCTGCTTGCCTGTGCACCAGAAGGGGGATGTGAGGGCCACGGTGCTCAGCAGGAGGGACACGACTGTCTGGAAGAAGGAGAGGGAAGGGGAACGAGCTCTCTTAAGGAAGGTCATCATAGGAGGAGCCTGCTGGAGAGAGGAAAAAAGGGATGAAATAAAGACATGATACATTTTATCCATCTTTTACCTACTTTGTTAACTAACACCAGGTCTCCAGGATAGTAGAACCAGTGGACTACATCTCACTTAACCTTTTAAACTTCAGTTGAACAGCACAAACCTCTATGTATCTAATTATTTTATTTAACAGACTAACTCAAAGTATTTAAATGTGCAGAGAAAGAAGGAAGATGCATGGTTTAAACATTTTTACAATAAACAACTGAAAAGTGTGACTCATATTAGCATTCATCCCCCTTAAATCATATATTTCCTTAATAAAATGCAACCCAACAGGTTTCATCCTCAGATTAGTAGACAGTCACACCAATTCCAGCTGCTCTGTGAAGCCTTCTGTGAATTATTGTAGAAGTTAGCAGAATTAGGTTATAAAACATGCCAGTTTCTCACAAAATATGCAGGAGACACAGCAAATAACAATAATAATAAATGAACTTTATTGATCTCACGATGGAGAAATTTACTTTTGCATTCAACCCATCGCCTTGGGAAGCAGTAACGGTAAGCAAAAGGCTTTGCAGTAGAAATATAGCAGAGCACACATTGGTAACTATAAATGGGGTTGGCTGTTCCATACGAAGTGAATTTTGTTCTATTCCTGCTCCAAGCAAAGAATACATTTTTTAAGTTTAAACAAAAATGCATTTCAGAAATGAATAAATGCAAAACATATACACACATGTATATATATATATATATATATATATATATATATATATATATATATATATATATATATATATATATATATATATATATATATATATATATATATATACACATATATATACACATATATATATACACATATATATACACATATATATATACACATATATATATATATATAAAATATTTTGCAAGTATCTTTGCCATTTTCTGTTCTCTTCTAAATTTGTTTTTTTTTTTTCTCTAATTTTTTCCATGTTTTTATTGTATTTCCATTTTTTTCCCAAAATGTATTCACACATTTAAAACTTAAAAGGTTTTTATTTGTTCTGTTGATCTGAATGAGTTTTACAAATGTGTGTTTAACAGATGTGTTGATATTGGCATTTTTATTGGTCTAAGTGCAAGTCAAGAGAGAATGTTTGGTATTTGGTAAGTGGAGAACATCTGTAATGCAATTTAAGAAAAGCACAAGAAAGCAAAGTAAAAGAAAATACAAAATCAAAAAAAAAAAAAACTTTTTGAAAATAAATTTTTTTAAGAATATATGATTTTGCATTTTCAAAATACATTTAAGGAAAAACAAAAAATTACAAATTTCCATTTAGAAAACATGTTCTTTACTTGCAACACTAATGGAACAAAATTCACTCCCTAGATTTCTGTCTTTATTTTAATTTGAATACAGCCAAAAATGGTAACGGTAGGCTTATGCTGTGTGGAATACTCTTTTTCAGGAAGATATTGGAAGCTACTCCGTGCTGAAGACATTTTCAGCTGGAATTTTCCTCACCAAGAAAACACCCCAGGGTGGAACATGGTGATGGGAGCATCATGCTGTGAGGATAGTTATTGGAACATCCTCGTAGTTATTGGAGAGAATAAAGAGATAAATATGAGATAATTCAGGAAGAGGACGCCAAAAATCTGAGACGGAGGTTCAACTTCAGCAAGAAAATTATCCTGCAAATTCAACCAGAGCTACAATTTAAAGGTTTTGTTGAAAAGTACCCTGTTAAATAAAACTGCAGTGGTTGAGCATAGACTAATTCTGCTCTAGATCTGGGATTTTAAACTCCAGTCCTAGAGGGCCGTTATCCTACAACCTTTAGAATGTTCCTGGTCCAACACACCTGAATCAAACATATGACGGTGTGAACATGGAATGCATTTTTGTCAACTTCTAAAATGAGGGACTGTGCTTCAGGTCATGCCACACAAAGGACTGTGGGATTCCTTACAGCTCCCCAGAAGAAACCATTACAGGAAAGATACAGACTCTTTTCTCTACCTCATCATGATCATTGGTCCCACACTACCATTTTAGCTGAATAATCCTCACTGATTTGAACAATTCGGATGTAATAAAGTTCACCAGAATCCTGCTAATCACCTGGTAATTTGATTCAGCCGTGTTAAAATAGAGACATGTCCGAAAGTTGCAGGACGCCGGCCCTTTAAGGACTGGAGTTTGACATCTGTGCTTCAGATCAAGAAAATAGAAAACAGCTGATCATGTAAAACATAGCTCTCCTTTTCTACTAAAAACAGACCAGCAATTTTTGTTTTAGTAGCTAAAAACAAGTCATATGTACCATATAAAAATGTCTTTTCTGTGAAGAAATATTAATAAAAAAGCTGTGACAAAGCCAGCGTTATTGACACCACTGATTTGGAACCAAATGTGAGTCTGAATATCTCAGTCAAAATCTAGCAATCAATGCATTTCAGAATCTGTGGTGATACTTAAACTGATATTGATGATCTCTGTCCTAATGAATCGGGCGTTATCTATTCCGCAAACGGATGGACAGGGTTGATATAGACCAGGCATGTCCAAAGCTGGTCCTGGAGGGCCGCTGTCCTACAGGCTTTCAGTGTTTCTCAGCTTCAGCACATCTAATTCTGAAAAACTGCAGCTCAGCAAAGGCCTGTTCATCACCTATCATTAGAAATCAGTTGTACTTAAGATGGAAAACCTCTAAAACCTGCAGAACAGCCACCCTCGAGGACCAACTTTGGACATGCCTGATATAGACAAACAGAAAAGACTTACAGCTACCCTGGCAAAAAAAAAAAAAAAACAGGCTATCTTCCAGTTTTACAGTGATGATGTGTTTTTGTTGGTCTGTCAAATAAAATCCCAATAAATCGCAGTGAAGTGTAATCAGTGTTTTTGGAAGAGTCATCATCACTAACTTTAAAAAAAAGGACAGACATTTCTCCGCCGCTGATAACAGGTGGCATGAGGATACACAGGAGGAAACCTGCCATCACCATGGAAACCCTCTAGCAGACAGATGCAAACTGTGAATAAGAGACAAAGACTCCTTACCTCCTTTAGTTTCTTGCCTTCCTCCCTTTGAGAGAACAGTACAAGGTGAGTCCCTCTCGCTCTTCAACAGATTTGTCGACTGACGGAGGATTTTGGTCATCACACTGACCTCTACGGAGGGGGGGGGGGGGGGGGGGGGGGGGGACTGTCACTCCTATGAAGCTATCCCACTGAGCAGGAGCATATCTCTCAATCACACTCTATGCCTTTAATCCAGCCGCATGAATAAATCCAAAACAGACAGCTCTCCTCCATCTGCTTCAATTTGATTTCTAGAATATTTTTTTATCCGCTTTAGCCCCTGCCCCCCCATTATTCCAACACTTTGCAGCCTTCGCAAACATGTACTTCAGTTTGATTTAACCTTGACATAGGCACATATACCGTCGGTTAAGCTGCAGCGCTTTAAATATGGAGACGTGAGCGAAGGGAGGAGACTCTGCTCTGACCTTTAGAGAGGAGGCCTTAGGTGGACCCTGACAAACATTCACACTTCATTTATTAAGACTACATATAGCTCCATGAGGAAGCCATTGATCTCTTACGGAAAAAAAGAATAACAAAATAAAAACAGCTTAAGCATATTGTTTAGCATTAAAAGGTGAGCAACACAGGCAAAGCTGCAGACCTCTGACAGATGAAAACTATGATCTGCTATTAATACGGCTGGAGCTTATAGACATATCAATTACTTCTCTTCTGTAAAAACGCATGTCATGATAAGAAATAGAATTAGTACAAAACTGATCTAAATAAGGGAAAATGTCCTTAACTCAAGCAGGTAAATAAGACACTTGGAATAAGACAATAGAGAAGTTTCTTCTTTATTCTAAGAGTAAATCAGCTTATTTCATTAGGAAATTGTCTATACATATATACACACATATATATATATATATATATGACGTGTATATATCATATTTGTTTATATGATTACCCAGAATATCAAAAGCTGACCTGAATTTAACTTGTTAGGTCTAAGCCTTACTGATGCCTGAACTATAAACTAGAGAGATTCCTTAAATAGAGCCTGACTGACAACAGGAAGTAGGCAAAAAGTTACAGAAAAGAAAGAAATTCCTCACCATCTAGTCTATAAATAAATACACGCCATTATTTCTATTATCCTAAAGATGGAGTGTTGAACCTTCGGAGGACAACAGGCCAACTAATACCGATCACACCGATATCAGGTGGGGGTGCTGTGATCATCATAGTTTCTCTGGTACTTAAAAAACTTACTACAAATGATGGAACCCCAAATTCTGCCTCTCTAGTGAGCATTACGAGCCGTTAGCTTTTAGCCTTATGCACCAAGACAATTTAAAGCACACCAGCCAATTCACATCGGACTGCTGCTAAAAGATTGAAGGGATTGGAGAGTGGGCTAATCAAAGTCTGCACTTTAATCTTACTAACGTAGGCAAACAGCTGCTGCAAATGGTACCCTTGATATACCCGAGTCACATTTATCATTTAAAAACTCTTCCATTGTTTGGATTAAATGAAATTAGCAAAAAAAAAAAAAAAGAAAAGGAAAACTAAAATCCCCTGTAAAGTGTAAAATTAGTGTATTACAGGGGCACTCACTATTTTACATAAAGTGAGGATGGTTTCAATCGCATTTTCATTCCACAAAAAAGTCTTTTTGGTAGAAAATGGAGTCACACATCTGAAATAAATAATGTTTTTGTGTTTACTTTTTACTTGAAATGTTAAAGGTTAGTCAGACTATTTCCAATGGTCAACAGAAAAATCTATTTCTGTGTTTTTACTGCTAAAAGTCATAAAAGAATTGGTTCAGGTGGCAAAATGAGGCTGGAATAACTATTTTAAAAGACTTATATGACAAAGCTTTTTACTTCTTTACAGTGCTATTCCTTCACCAATTATCTGGATTCATGCAGGTCTGTTGTCCTTATGATTTTGGCTCTTCCTGACCAGGAAAACCAATGATCGTTTCTGATCGTCTCTGATCTGTGCAGAGCAGTGATGACCTGCCTCCTCCAGGAAGCAGCTCTTTCATCCTGGTTGGAAAAATGGCACCAGTAAACAACTATGTTGTAACAGATTAATACTCTACTGTGCCAAAGGCAATATGTCATCAGAAATATACATATAGTTGACATGGAAGTTTTAACCCGTTAACTGTCAGGGCTCGTCTGCAGTGCTTCCAAATTTGCAGCCTCATCTGCCACAATAAGGCTACTGTCCGCCATTGCATCAGCTGTATATGGCGGCCTGGACCCCCCCAATGGTTTAAGAACAGCAGGTATTTTTAGGTGTTTTTGGTATTTTTGTCCACTTTATAGGTTAAAAAGAAGACATAAAACCTTTAACAACGAATACGATTTCATAGTGTTGAAAACACCATAGCAAAATATTTCTCCATAGATCATGTTATCTTTGTGGTCTGATGGTTCCCAGACTGTTGCAGCATCTTGCCTGTTTTATGAACAAGGAAGTCGGAATAAAACCTCAGCCTTTCAGAACCTTCAATTGTTTCTTCTTTCTTTGAATAGATCTGTCAGCCCTGGGCCATTTAATCACCAACTACTACACCTCAATGAATGCCCTACCTAGACTTGCCCCAACAGGTTTTAGTCTGTGCAGGGCGTAAACCGTGTGAAACAGCCCCTCCCTACCAACTGAAAAGATTAAGTCATGATGGATAGAAGAAAAACTAACGTGTGTGAATAGTTTAGGCGAAAAAGGCCGCTGGTCGTTTCCCGCCTCATGTCATTCAGCTCGTTTGCTTTGTGATACTTTTCTATCAAAGGGAATCTAAAAAAAATTGCTTTGACATGCATGACATCAGTAAATTCAGACAAGAAAGCAAAAAGGTTGAAGCATTTTTAAGTGTATTCATAATTCATATACATATTGACAGGTTTTCTAATACAGCATGGTTTTGATAGTGTAACTGTCTTTCAGTTGACCTTTTTTTTTGTACAAGAATAACAGTAAAAAGTAATAAAGACAACACCATGTATGACTCGCTTTGAAATCTGATGGCAATGGATTTTGCATCTTCTGATTCATTCGCCGCTGCCTTACTGAAGTAGGAAAAACCTCTCTAAGGTACTTGGTCAGGCTCGCTTGGTGTAAGCCAAAACAGATGGCCTATCAAAGCTCCGATTCGTCTCAGTCTGGAGGACTGACGCGTGCCGCTCGAGCGAACGTTTCACCGGAACTACGGAAGCTCCTCAGCGTCCCGTCCTGCCATTCTTCTTCTGGTGGCAAACACGCACCAGTCTGTAGTGTTATCTCCTCTTTGCACTTTATGAACGTTTTGTTCTTGAAAAATAAGACTGTCCATCTGATTTTTTTTTTTTTAATGAATACTATCTGTACCGTAAAAACCCCTGTGATGAAAAATAAGAACACTTTTCAAAAAGGACCAAAAAATGTAATCAGACCCAGATATCGGGTAATTTTTCCTCTCATTCACACACACGCATTCCTCACTCATTCATAACTTGTTTTTTTGTTTTGTTTAGTTTTCTCTTTAAAGGCAACAGATGTCCATTCTCAAAGGCAATAATGTCTTTGTGGCAAACTCGACCCTGACATTCCAGACATTAGACGCTCTGGCTCCTCCTCCTCCAGGAACAGAAAAGTATAGAAAAATAAAAATCCAACTCAGGTGTTGTTTGAATATAAACTGGGATACATCCATTTCATTGTTGTAGGTAAATACTGATGAGGATACAAAATAATGAGGGCTAAAGCAATAACTGTGATCGTTTAATACCGTAACATAAAATACTAACTGGTAAAACGAGGCCAAGTCTCCCAGTGTACTTTCTGGGTTCCGACGCCCAACTTGCTCCCAATGCATCTCCTCAAAGCAAGCAAAAGATAAAAAAGGTAAAAGGATGATGCAGAAAAATGATAACCAAGGATTTAAACACTTTAAGGTTGTCTGGAAAATCAAAGCAAGCCTGGAGAAGAAGTTTGTCTCTTTAGTTCCTCACAAAGAAAGCTGCTTTAATTCCTCCGTCGGTCTCGTCTGTTTTCGCCCCGCTTTGTTCGCTGTAGCTTGTTCGGTTTTCTGCTACGCCTTTTTCTCTCAGCAAAAGTTCCCCTTTGTTGTTTTCGTCTGTTTTCTTTTGAAGTAAAGAGCGATGGTTCTGGTAAAAATGTTCAATTTTCTCCATTGTCCTGGAAATGCAAGTAATGCTGATTCAGTTCTGAGAAATTGTACATTCCCTTTAGTCGCTCTGCTCGATGAATCCAAGTCCAGTCGCTTCACACGTTCCCCGATGTCCTACTGTCCAAGGTACCCTGTGAGAGGAAACAGTCATCAATCACAACACACAACAATAACATATCAGGGTTTATACAGGAATGAGCAACTCTAATTTAATGCTTTTTAATGCTCTTTTAATGCTCTTAAAAATAATTTTAATGCAACAAGTACCCATAACTCTCATATATACACAGCAAATTCATCATCTTTACTGTCAGCAGGCTGCAATTCCTCGATTTCCAGCCACTTTTGTTGAAATTAGCATTTTCCCCATTCTACAGCTTTTTCTCCGACTTGAGCTTCTTTTCCGAATATACGGCGTGACAATCAGCCGGAAGCAGTTCCGCGCAAATATATCGTGATATATTTGAATATTCGCAAATATATATATATTTTAAGAAATTGTTTTAATAAACTTTTTTTCTTAATTAAGCATTTTAAATGCCAAAATAATCACATTTAATGAATTTTAATGCCAATTCAGGCCTTAATTTTAAAAATAATTATTTAATGACTTAATGTTTTTTAATGACCCGCGGAAACCCTGCATATGGACTGTCCTCACACCCTCACATACACACATCTATGGATCCAACACTTCTCAACTATAGCTGTATATAAACTGAAAATCTTTTATCTGCTATTATCTGTCATTAACTATCCTGTATTATAACCTCACTAATATATATACATAATCCATATGCTAACTTTCCTGAATAATATATAGTCTTCATTAGGGCTGCAACTAACGATTATTTTAAAAATCGATGAATCGGACGATTATTTTTTCGATTAATCGATGAATCGGACAAAAAATATTTTTTATATTAACCTCTTTATTCCAAAATAAACATTTTAGACAGAACAA